TAATTAGGGTTAATTAGAACGCTGGTTTCTAACTAACTAAAATTAAGGAGAGATAGGAAAATAATTCCAACGGTGAATATTCAAAATATGAATTGAATTATCCTTGCATCTATGATCAATTGTGGATTTCTGACGGTGGATGTGGACTTAGACCAATGTTAGTCTTTTGATTATTTTCGTTAACTTAATTTTCATTGTTATTAATTGCGTTATTTACAATTCTTTAAATACAAAAAACCCCCCCAATCATTGTACAAAGTATAAAATATTGAATAACACACGCTTCGTGGGATCGATCCTTACTTCCACTACTACATTAGTTTTAGAGGTTAAGGTATTACTTTTGGGTGCCTGCGACAGCACACACTAATGTCTCATTCCAAACGAACAAGTTTACGACCATAGACCTTTTATACAATTTCTTTCCCACTTCAAAAATCATTTCAACATAATAACCAAAACAGTATTTATATTACTTTCAGTACATCTCCACAACTAATTAGTTATTCATTAACTGAATTAACATAACAATGCAAGCTTCAAACTCGCTTGATCTCCCACGTACATTCTCCATTCCAATACCTATAGCAAAACCAGGATTAGTTGACACCAAATGAGTAGAAAAATTGATAGGTTCATAATAATTTGAATTTACTAGATATATATTTCCATGTTCGTTATTCCAATGCCATGGGTTTTCGCCACTGTTGTCTGGCAAATATAGATCATAGTAAGGCATTGCATGATATATGTACACCATGAAAATTAACACAAAACCCTTGAAATATGAAGTAACCTCAACTACTTAGAATGAACCCCATCATTACCTTGACCATCCAGGCGGATCGAACTAGATGATTGTAAGTGTTGTGTAAACTCAAGGCTTTGGTTTGCACCCTACGTGTAAAAATGTGTTTTTTATCAATCATACGTATATGTAGAAAGGAAATTTAATAATAATATACACAGACACACATACTAACCATTAGGAGTTGTGAATATGATAATGGCACCGACATTGAATATTGTGCTTGTTGAGTTGTCTGAAACACGGTTGCACCATCTCCAAGATTACTTTGACTTGCCTTAGGTTACTTTCCTTTAGTTACAACATCTTCATCTGTTTACACTGATCTTCGATCCATTCCTATATTGAACTAGATTTCACATCATCATCACAAGTGATGTTTTCCAATGTAGCGAATGATTTAACTATCTCATCGTACATCAATTGTGCAGGAAAACTAACCAAACCATCGTAGTTCATTACAACCCTTGTGTGCGTCTAATAACATCTCTCCGCCAGCTTCGTAAAATATATTTCTCTGGCAGTGATTTGACATCATTGCATATCAATACTGTGATCGCATGCCTTCATAGAATTCCTTGAAACTCGAATAAGTGGCAACTGCACATAATTTCTCATTTGTCCCTCGATAATGAGACGAAAATTTTTTTTTTTCTACAATTATTGTCATGCATGACATCTTCGATCAACTCGTACGTCGTCCCCGAGCATCTTTCCTTAACAAATATGTGTTCGCAATAAACTTTGCCAAAGAATTCCTCTTGAACTTCCCTGAACTTTGAAATTGTGTACACTGCTTTGCGAAAGACTTGAAATCTACTTGAAACTCTTTCTCAACCTTATTTCTCAATGCTCTATCATATTGTTCAACAAGTTACTTCAACGAGGTCTTCGAATGCACATATCTATCGAAAAATGGATTGTTATTCTCACTTCGTTGAGTTGTTGACATTCCTACCCAGAAAGTGATTCTCAAATAGCAAAGAACCCGACGTGATCTATTATTGCAAAAACCTGACAACCATTCATTATCTTACAAATTATACGTTTCTATCATCACTATCCAACCTTCTTCAAATTCTTCAAAAAATTGAGAATCATACACCAATTCGTGTATAGTAGAGAATATTAAAGCTTTATCAATATTAAAGCTTTATTAATATGAAATCCGAATCATACACATATGCTTCATATTGGGGAAAACTATCTGAATTGCATTTCGCATTGCCCTATCTTGACAACATCGTCAAACTCCATACATGCCTACCTACTCCTATTATCTACCCAGAAAAATATTTTTTCAAATGCGACTCTTCATCCAAATCTATACTGAAGTAGAACCCGAAGCATCGTGCTTGCATAGCCGAAAATTATGATTGTATTACTTTGTCGTCACATTTTTCAAGTCTTAACCATCGTCAACTCGTTCAACGTAGTTTCGAAAATCCTTCTTCACGGAGGTTGCAACTTTTGTGCAGCATTGTTCCTGCAATGTCATTTACTTCAATCCACCATTTCACCTGAGCACTTAACTCTCTATTGCATCGATACAATCTGGACTTTGAACGAATTGTTCTATGATTGTAATCGAGGTGTACTACGTTAATTCTCCAAATTCTACGAATATCTGAATAAACAGTCAATCTGGCTTTACATCCACTCCGCATGGTAGCTTGTGGCTTTAGAGAAACTCTTGAATTATTGATTTTTCCCTTCACGACTATAAACAACTGTAACACATCGTAGAACTCCATTATCATCCTTTTTCGAATTTCTTTTTCTCACTGGAAAACCCAAGTCGTATGCATATCTTTTATAAAACTCGAATATTTCATTTTTGTCCTTAAACTTCATGTACACCTCAAGCACAATAGCACTATCCCCTTCTGTTGCACCATCACCCAGTAATTTTGTATTGTCGATAACATTCTCGTCATCAAACTCCACCAACATAACGGCTTGGACGTCGTCCAAAATTTCTTTCCCTGTGACATAAACCCGATCGAAATGTTATTTATAGCTTTCTTCCAGTGAACTACTTTACAATTGATGCACCATATTCACTTACGTTTATTTAATTTACAAATTTGGCTTTTTATTAGTTCCTTTTCTAGAGACGAAATCCGATGCAATTATGAAATTTTCACTTCCCTTATGTATCTATTCTCCACTACTAGATCAAACTGGTGGTATTAATAGTGGCAAATTCTTCAAAAAATTAAAAAAAAATCCTTCCTAAATCATGATGCGCAATATCATACTTCTACTTGCTACAAAAATGGAACTCGCCTCATTCAACCAAAGATTTAAGGAAAA